CTCCCTTTCTCCTCCCCCCGTTCCTCTCCACTCCCTCCTCCCCCCTGCGTCGTGCCTGTTCCCTGTACTTCCTTCTCTCCTCTCTCATCTGCCCCTCCTCCGCGTCCCCGCTTTCTTTCCTCATCGCTTTTTCATTCCCCTCCCGCCCCCTCCTCCTCCCCCCGCCTCCTGCCACCCTCGTCAGTTCAGGGCCAGTGTTTGGGCTGTGCCCTTACGTATGTTCAGTCCATCGTTCGACCACCGCGCGCTGATTCGATTTCATTTTGATATATATATATATATATATATGGCAGCGGCACGGTATGCAGTCGCTTTCGCTTGGTAGCTGGAGTGTGAGATTTTGTTCCCTATTACGTATATTGCGGGCGGTGGGCACGTACATCTGTCACAACAAGTGGTTCCATAACACCCCGCAGTTGCGGATAACAGTGAGGGGGCGGGCGCGGGGTGGGTCGCGGGTAGGTCGCCACAAGAACAAACAGGCGCAGCAACGACCGACTGTGCGACATATCAGATGTGACAGGCGTCGCGACGTCACGCCGCTCCGTTCAGAACATGACATATCAGAACATGACGTCATTCACGACATTGGGGCAGGGCCCGAGCGAACATAATATAGCCTCCTGGTCCTTCTCTTCCGGCAGGCAGGTCTCGCTTACATCACGCGTTTCGGGTTTTGTTTCCCCCCCCCCAGTGTTTGCTTCGGTTTCTTTCGTCAAGGCTTCTCCTCCTACGACAACCTGGGGCCCTCATACTTTATGACAAGGGGCAACTTGCGACCTGGCCCAGCCGCCGCGCTGGCCGAGACCGCCAGGCCCTGCGCGCATCGTTCCAGTAGGCGCGTGCTTGCCGTCGGGAACAAACGCCGAAGGTTTCGTTGGGGATCGTTCGAAACAACAAAATGTGATTCACCTCCTGTTTACTGAGCCCGCAAGCCGCCTTCTTCAGCAGCTGTGCGCAGCGGGTCCAACGGTCCCCAGGGCACAGAACTTGTCACCGGTTGCCCCATCGCTCACATCCTCCTCGTCTGCGTCGTTCTCATCGTCGTTGTCCTCGACCCTGTTTTGCCGTCAGTATTTTGTCGGGCTACTGCTCTGGTAGTTGTTCTTTCGGGTCCGCCGAGGCTAGCAGGCTTCTGCCTTGCTTTGTGCCAGACCGCCCATGGATCTGATGTGGTGGGCCACGCATGTAGCAGTGGGACATGTCAAGCGAAGTGGGCAACACCATGCTAGTTTCTGACAAGAGGCGGCGCGCGCAGACCAAGGCGGCGATTACGCGTACTTGAACAACCCCATGTACGGTTGGGTCAACATCGACGCCCGCCTGGGAGATCCCGACAGTAAAGCGGTCAGGATGTTGGTTTGTCTTATTCTTTCTGTTGCTCCCCCTCTATTGTTGTATTTACTCGCGCTTGTATGTTATTGTTGCGGGTTCCATTTTCCTTTATTTTTCTTGATTGACGAAAACGCATCCGCCGAGCCACCGTCGCCCCCCTGCACGTCGGTGACGCCAATGACTCCAAACATTGTGTTCCAGTTTGGCAAGCTTCTGGACGGTGTGCTCCCCTGGCCGATGCGGAAGGTAAGCAGAGTGTGTATGTGCATCGTTGTGATTTTGGTTCGCCTTTTTTTGGACGACCGTGCGGATTCATTCTCTGGCCGCGTGCGACCAAACATTATGTGTGCGTGTGGGTATGTGCGCGTGCGCGTTCGCGTGCGCGTGTGAGTGCGTGCGTGCGTGTGTGCGTGCGTGTGTGCGTGCGTGAATGTATGCGCGCGCGCGCGTGTGTGTGTGTGTGTGTGTGTGTGTGTGTGTGTGTGTGTGTGTGTGTGTGTGTGTGTGTGTGTGTGTGTGTGTGTGTGCGTGTGTGCGTGTGTGTGCGTGTGTGCGTGTGTGCGTGCGTGTGCGTGTGCGTGTGCGTGTGCGTGTGCGTGTGCGTGTGCGTGTGCGTGTGCGTGTGCGTGTGCGTGTGCGTGTGCGTGTGCGTGTGCGTGTGCGTGTGCGTGTGCGTGTGCGTGTGCGTGTGCGTGTGCGTGTGCGGGTGCGGGTGCGTGGGTGCGGGTGCGGGTGCGGGTGCGGGTGGGTGCGTGCGGGTGCGTGTGCGTGTGCGTGTGCGTGTGCGTGTGCGTGTGCGTGTGCGTGTGCGTGTGCGTGTGCGTGTGCGTGTGCGTGTGTGTGCGTGTGCGTGTGCGTGTGCGTGTGCGTGTGCGTGTGCGTGTGCGTGTGCGTGTGCGTGTGCGTGTGCGTGTGCGTGTGCGTGTGCGTGTGCGTGTGCGTGTGCGTGTGCGTGTGCGTGTGCGTGTGCGTGTGCGCGTGCGCGTGCGCGTGCGCGTGCGTGCGTGCGTGCGTGCGTGTGCGTGTGTGTGTGTGTGTGTGTGTGTGTGTGTGTGTGTGTGTGTGTGTGCGGGGCCGAGTTTCCCTTTTAGTTGAGTCACTTCTCTCAGACATTTCGGTGGCCCTATCGTGCCATCCAGGAGGTCCTTGTGCTGTCCTTGCGGCCTCGAAGGCCATCTCGGGGATACCAATTTGTATTTCTGCGGCGGAAAGAGCTTCTTGAGTAAGCTTTCAGGACCTGTCGATGGCTGGCCTGGTCTGGGAATTGGTGACTTTTCCGTTGCCCAGCACCGCGCGAAGCGGGGCTTCCGATAGCTTTGGGGCGAGCCCGCCAGTCACCGAACGCATCGTGGGCGAGAACCATGCAATGCTTTCGCGGTCTGGGCTTCTCGGCCGCGACCCCATGGATACTTGGCAGCTTTGCGCGGATGCCGGGCGCGCAACGAATCCATGGGATCGCACATCCATGGGATCGTGCGCTCGGTGTCCAGACCACGAGGTCATGGACATGGATCTGTCCGTCGCTCGTGAGCGCAGGCGCCCCCGCCGTCGAAGCGCACATCGGCCAAACGAGCCGCGAGCGGAGCTCTCCGGCTTCTCGGGGCTCGTCGTTCGCGGCGGGGGCTCCGCTGCTCCGCCTGTCAAGGGCAGGAACAGCACGACCCCCAGGCGTGGCGCTTGCCGAAGCCAGTCTTGGGCCAGATTAGACCCGTGCCCTCAGGCGCGTTTGCTGAAGGGCCTCGCGTGCAGGGGGGCGCTTATGATGAGGGTGGCTCTTCTGCTCTCTAACCCGCCGGGAAGCATGGGCGGGCTCCGCTTACCTGCGAGCTCCGCCCATGAGAGCGGACCTCGGCGGAGTCTCGTCGGCCGAGGCCGCTCGGAGCCTCTCGGCCGTCGCGCTCTCTCCTAGCTGCTGCCTCGGGCAGCGACACAGCCGCGGCGCGGCTCCTCGTCCCTCCTGCTGCTGCTCATCGACTGGTGCCTCGGCAAGTGTCCAAGATCTTCCTCCCGCTCCTGCTCCTGCTCCCGCGCCTCCATCTCCTGCGACATCCAGACATCCACCTCCTCCACCCGAGTCTGTCGCTGCCCGTGGGTCTGCCTCGCCAAGACTGGATCGGTCGCCATGTCGACCTGCAAGCATGAGCCAGGTTTCAGCAACCTCCACCTCTTCCACCCCTCTGCCTCTCCTCTGTGGGGGGATCGTGTTGCACGCTATATAGGCAGGACTGTATCTGAATATGCTTTTGTAATTGAGCATGCTTACGTTTTTCTCTCTGTCGATTCGTATGTTATTGTATGTGTGCATTGTCGTGTCGTTATGTTGATTTATCTTTCATGGCCTCACACGCTTATCTTTGATTGTCTCACGCGTTTCACATGCCTGGCGCTACGGCGCCCCTCTGCGACGCCCTAGCTGACGACAGTTGCAGGCCCGATGTCGGATATTCGCCTCTCATCTGACGTCGACCTCCACCAACACCCACACCTCTACCTTCGCCACCTCCACGACACCTCCACCGCGACACCTTCGCCTCCGCCTCCGACATGACAACTCCGCCGCGACACCTCCATACCCACCAAGACACCTCCGCATCCGCTTCCGCCGTGGGCCTCGACACGATACCTCCTCCCCCAACTTCCCACCACCCACTTCTTCCACTTCCGCCTTCTCCTCCAGGCAACCCGACCATACCTACCTCCTCGCCCTCTCCAGGCGCCGGAGTGGCTGGGGAAGGATTCGATCTGGCGGACGGTGGGGAAGGAAAGACATGCCCCACTCCGCTTCTTGCGCATCGACGAACGCTGGCTCGACGCCCTCCCTGACCGTCGTGACCCGACCCCTCCCAGGGAGCACCTGCACCTCGCGCTCGACCGCAGCGGGGTCCCGCCCAGCGAGTGGGCCGCCTGAGCGATGCGGGCGGCCACCGGCCCAGCCCCCGTGTGGGCGCGGGACCCAGATGTCCGGTGTCTTGAGTTTCTCATTGCAGGGTCCCCGGAGGCGTGGTTTTTCTCCCCAGGGTCAGCCTCTTCCTCCCGAGACATTGTTCCACGGTCCCAGGGCCCAGCGAAGGCCCCCGGAGGGCGCAAGTTGCGAAACACCTCCGCCCTGAGTTTCTCGAGACGTTGGAGGTTCGGGGGCGGCGCAGGCGCCACCGCGGCTCGTGGCCGGAGCTTGCCCGGCAGCTCTGAGAGGGCCGCCGTGGCCCTCGCGCCTTGCCCGCGCGCTCGGTGCCGTGCACACGGTGCGCGGCAGGGCCCCGCCAGCTCGAGATGTTAGTTGCTCTCGCTGGCGATTGTGTAGTGTTCCCGCGCGACTCGTGGGGTGTTGAAAGGGCGAGGGGTTCTTGTCCGCAAGCTTCGGAGCCTCTCTTGCGTGGAGGCTCCAGCCTCTGTGGGTCTGTTGCGTCCGAGCTCCAGCTGTTCCTCCTCCCCGTCCTCTTTCTTCGCTTCCGCTTCCCTCGCGGCCTCTCCAGTCGCTCTCCCCTCTGAACTGGAATGTTATGGGGGGCGCTGCAGCATGTAGTGGCTGGGGGCGCAACAGCATGCATGCGGTTGGGGCGCAAAAACATGCCGTTATCTTCCGATGATCCTGCCCGCTTCAGTGCCGTTTTAGGGGAAGTATTTCCGAGGCGGTAGTGACCTTCGGCTTATCCCGCCACCGTGCCTGGGTTGTGTGTCAGGGGCCTCTTGGATGCCTGCTAGGTTCTCTTGGGATGCCTCTTGGAGGCAGGCGGGGATGTCCTGGGGCTTCTCGGGGGGCCTCTTGGGGATTCTTGTGGGCCTCTTGGAGTCCTCCTGCGGTTTCTTGGGGGCCTCTTGGGGGCCTGCTGGCTGTCTCTGGGGCCATCTTGGGGCGGACGGTTCGACATGTCAGTTTGTGTTCCCCCTCTTGGGGCTCTCTTCGGCCTTTTTTTGGCCCTCTTCTAGGCCTCTCGGGCTGTCCTGGTGCGATCTAGGCGTCCTCTGGGGCCGCTTTGGAGCGCTGGGAGCCGGGAAAGGTAAGAACGCTACAGTCCTTCATCAAAACTTGAAACATCATGTTTGCATCCTCGGGCTCTCTTGGGAGTGCTGTTGGGGCGTTCTTGGGGCGTCAAGGAGGCTCTTGGGCCCGTCTTCAGGCCATGCTTGGCAGATTGGAGCGATATTTGGGCGACCCAGGTATCTCTTGGACTGTCTTCAAAGCCTCTTGGGGACCTGTTGGCCCGCTTTGAGGCCCTTCTGCTTCCAGGAAACATGCGCGAGAACACTCGGGAAGCCGCAAGAGCGCCCAGGAGCACCAGAATTCGGGGCTGTGGGCTGTGTCATGGGTATTATACATTCTGCACAGAGGACTACGTAGGTCCCGTCACCAGGATCACCGATCATGTCTTCGCTGGTTGGCAGCCTAGGAGGCAACGGAGGCTGAGAGGAAACATTTGACAGAAGGGGGCTTCAACAGCAAGGAGGCCTACCAGGACTGCAGCAGGGGAACGAGTAAGAGTGCGAATGCGAAGATACCTCGGCGACGGCGACGACGACGACAGTGCGACTCCTGCTGATGTTCCTCCGTCGCCCCCTCAGGCCCCGCCGCGCCTTGCTTTGCCCTGCCCCTACCCCTCCATCATCCTTTCAGCACCTGCATCCGCACGTGCCGTTAGACCCTCCTGATTACCTCTCCTTTTCAATCTGGCCGCGTGACTTTCCCCCTTCGAATCCTTCTGCATGCCCCTTCCCCCCCGCTTGCCCGCCTTTCCCCTCTTCCTCTCCCCGCCCTGCCCTCTCACACCCTCCGATCCGCAGGCCCGGTAGCCCCCATCTTGGAGGAGCGTCTTGGCATCCTGCCCCCTTGTCGGGGGAAGAAACACGATGACCGTGACCATGACCAAGCTGTCGCGGGATCTTGTCGCGAAGCATGATCCATGCCAGCCGTCGCCGATCCGCGAGGAAAACCAACGAGTTGACAGTGCCCGTATAAACGATGACCAAGATCGACACCGACGTTTCCGCGTTCATTCCAGAATCGTGATCATCGTTTGTTCTCCCTTTCCCCCTTTTCCCACTTCCCTGTTCCTCTGGCCTCTATCCCGACCTCTGCTCGGGGCACGCCTTCGCTTCTTCTCCTGAGCCACCTGTGCAGGCGAAGTTCACTGCCGCGAAGAGCCATCGCAGCTGCGACCGCGACGAGCCGCTTGCCGCTGCGACCAGGCAGCTGGTCGGCGCCACGCAAGCGCTTGGGAGGCCTCGGGCCGCCGCAGGGCCTGACCTCTTAGCGCGCGCGGCCGTGGGCGGAGCGGGCGGTGGTGCTGCCGGTCGCCGCCCGCCTCCGTCGCGCCGTGCTGTGGTGTGCTGTGCGCCGAAAGGCGTGGCGTGGAGGAGGCCACTGGGGTCGGCTCGGGGGTCTTTGTTGGTTCAGCACTGGTGCAGGCCATCAAGATGGGGAGAAGAGTTTCGAGGTCCGAGGTTCTGGGTCTGGGAAGTTCGCGTTGTCTTTTTCGGCCTCCGGGGGCCGTTTTCGGACCCCGGGACCGTCAGAAACGGATCCGGGGTGAAAAATTGCACCATGGACCCCAGAAAGGGGTTCCAGGACAGATTTTGGGCGGATTTGGTCCCGTCACCCTTCCTGACCGTTTTTCTGGGTCCCAGCTGCCCACCTCCAACGACCACGGGCTGAGCAGGCGCGTTTTCTTCCCACTCGTAAGCGATAAAAGGCTTCCCGGGGAAGATGGCGCGCGGCGTGCGGCGGGCTTTGACGCGCGCGCGCGCGTTCGGGAGGCGCCTTCCTGGTGGAAGGCCCTTCTCGACGCTCCCGGCAGCATTCGAGGGCGGCGAAGAGGACTGAGGCCCTACGCGCGAATCGGCGCGAGCGCGTCACTGGCGGCACGCAGCCTCGGTGGCCTTGCTGGCTGGCCGCGGGCGAGCGCGGCGGCATAATTATGATTGGGTTTTCTCCGAAGCGTGATCCTGCACCCTTACGTTTCCACTGTTACTTGTCTGCGTGGGCGAACGGGCTGTGTTCGCGGGGTGGTATCCGCATGTCTGCTGCGCCCTCCTTTGCCTTATGTACCACCTTCACATCGCCACGATAGCAGCGTGTTCTCCATCAGCACAGCCGACGATGTCCAGAGGAGGGGGCAACCGATGGCCCGTGGCCTGGTTTCCGCCCTACGTGGCGCTGGAGACGGCGGGCCCGACACGGGTGGCACCGCCGAGGAGTTTGTGCGTGTGGACAAGGGTGACATGACGCTTTAGTCGGCGGCGCGCCCATGGGGAAAGGCAAAACGGGAGATTGTTTTTTGAGTATCACAAGGTCTCAGGCCTAGCTTGTTGGGCCTTCTCCGAAGCCGCAGAGCGCCTGTCAAAAAGGGCCAGAGGGTTTCAGAGAAGCCCTGCCGCCTTCCGAGAGGGCGTTCACCCTCTCATCTCCCCCCTCGGCGCGTCGCCGATCGATCGTCGGGCAGGAGTCTTAGCAGGGGCGGCCAGAGTCTGCCAATGCGATTCAGGCCAGGCTGCTCTGAAGGTTTACCCGCCCGCGCCCAGGAGTCCTCTTGCACGCCCGCGGCAGAGGCACGGGGCCTCTGGCCATGCTGCGCGAAGGCACCGTGCAGGTCGTTTGGCATGTCGCATCGCCGTCCACCGCCCGACGGAGAGGACCCGTGGCGGTGGCGGCCACTACACTGGCGCAGGGCTCTCTAGCACCAGTGTGAGCGAAAACGTTTTGATTGCCCGACGTGGGGCATTTGCCGTGTGGCGATGAGGGGGCATATCCCGAAAGCGAAGAAGGTCCACCGTGCCACGGACACGAAGTTTTTAAGCCGATACCGGCCGCCAGAGCACCCGAAATCCACCGCACAGAAGCCCAGTCTCCCCCGCAATTCGCGACCGTTGTGGCAGGGGAGCCTCTGCTTCGTTAAGTTGCGAGTTTGGATTGGGTGCTGCCCAGGACGGCAAGTCGCAAAAGGCCCTTCGAATATGCGTGATATGTGTCCCACAGCGGAGGCTTGGTTTGTCTGGGCGCGTTTGGCCACGTGGAGCTTATGGCCCTCACTGGGGGCACCGCAAGCACGTTGGAGCCGAGCGAGGGCGGAATTACAAGCGGCACACTTTTGGGAAGGCGTCGGGAGTTCACGTTGGAGCCGCGCGGCGCATTTGTGGGAACGCGTCGAGGATTTCTGAAAAGGTCTTGGCGCAGTCGCTACATCGCTTGCGAATCCCGTTCCATCCACATGCGCCCACTGCTGCTGCCGGCTGGGTGGGAGTTGCCGTGCGAAGGGCCTTCGGAAGTTGCCCATGCAACAAGGGGGAACTTGGCCGCGTTTCTCGGATGTCATCCACCTCCCGCGCCGTCAGGGCGAGAGCTATATAGCCACTGGAAAAAAAGATGCGTCGCACCCCCTGGCTTCGCATCTCTATCCGCTGCTGCGTTGTTCCTGAAGCGGCTTCAAGCCGGGGCCCGTGAGACTATTTGAGGAGGCTTGGCGGGCTTCTACGTTGATCGGTCCCCAATCTCTGAGCCTGCCCTGGTCGATAGTATCTTCTTCTATGCGCGGCGATGCCCGCGCCGTCCCTGGGGGTCTCAGATGGAAGCCCCGCGGCTGAAGGGTGGAGCTGAAACCGTTCCAGTCGCTTCGGGCGTGCGACGATTCTGGGCCAGGACAAGCAGCCCTCCTTGAGGCGCGGGTGGGCGCGTGGGCTCGCGCGGGCGTCAGAGCGCCGAGGCAGACGCAGAAACTGCACCCCCCGCGCCGTTGCGAGGGGTCGGAGCTCGCAGAGAAGAGCGCAGGTGCGCAGAGGGGAACCGGGAACCGACGGGACCGGTGGGTCGGAGGCGCTGTGGAGGGGGGCGGCCTCGTGCGACTCCTCCTCGTCCTCCTCTTCCTCCTCCTCCTCCTCCTCCTCCTCCTCCTCGTCCGCCTCGTTCCTCATCCTCTCTCGTTCCTGCTCGTCGCGCTGCCCTGCCTCCTCTTGCCCCGCCCTAGTTCGGGGGGGCTCGGTCGCCCCAGGCGGCGGGCGCGGCGTTTTTGCTTGTCGAGGGCGACTCCCCGCGCGCGGCGCAAAGACGCAGAGTTTCGGCACGGGGCCCCACGATGCAATCGCAACAGTGCCTGCGGCGCCTGCGCGCGAGGAGACTGAGATTTGCGTTCTGGGCAAGAACCGCCAGCCCATGCAGACAGATGTTCGGGGGGCGGAACCTTTGACTGGGCTTTGCTTCCTTGGCTGGGGCGGTTCGTTACTGGGCGAAACCTTTCGCGAAAGCGCGCGGCTGCTCGACGGCGGGCGCGTGTTTTGCGGGTCTGGTGGAACGAAAGGGGGGCGAGGTATTGCGATTATGCTGCACCGGCGATGGGCCGCGGGTTTCCGCGTCTTCCGCGCGGCGAGCGACAGACTGCGCGCCGCGGGCGCTCATGTCGCGGCCCACTGGCTTCGACCCATCGCGGTTTCCATGCCGCGCGGTGGCGACGCAGGCGCTGACGTTGAGGGCGTTATTATCGCAGGCGATTTCTCTCCCCCAATCCCAGACTTCCGCCAGAAAAGTTTGGTCGCTCAGAAAAGGGGGGGAATCTTGGGATACATCCCGAGGGGGCTATTCGGACGCACCCCTGTC